CAATATTCTAATTTTCTGATATGATGAATTTGAGATTTTCATTTGTTGTCATTTGTAATCATCAAAATTAAACAAAATAAACATCTGAAATATATGAGTTTGTATGTAATGTATGAATATAATATACAAGTTTCACTTTTTAAATGGAATTACTGAAATCAATCTACTTTTTCATGATATTCTAATTTTATGACCAGCACCTGTAAATGCTCAGATTGAAAAAAGCATTGAATGAATATTAGTTTAACGGTTTTGCATTAATTTAACTGGATTGACTGTAATAGTCCAGACTGTAACACTTGAGGGTAGCCAACCTAATTTTTAAATATTTCATAAGGTCACCTTGGCTAACAAGCTACAACTCAACAACAATGAGCTAATGATGTTGCTACTGTACACTTTTGACATCTACATTAATCAAAGATGCTAATAACATAATAGGAAGGAAAAACACAAAGTTCTAGAGTTCTTGTGAAGGGCACCTTTAGGAACATTGTATTGCACGTACTGTATGGATGTAATGTATGTCTTTTAAAGGAATAGTACACCCAAAACATGATTAGCCTTCATTTTCTACTCACCCCCATGCTGAACAACACTCTGGAGTACTTTTTTGATATCTCAAATGCATCTGGAGATCTGGGAGGCTTCTTGCTGTCTGCTGACACTCAAATAATGGAGGTCTATGGCGCCCGAGACAGAAAGGTCCATAAAAGTCCATAAAAACGTGTCAATATTCCTCCATACTGCTCGTCCAATGTATTCCAAGTGTCCTGAGTGGGTAGCGTCCATAATTTACTCGAAACGAAGTCATTTAGAATGTTTTTAGAGCATAAACAGTAGTGTATAGGATTTCCTAATAGCGCCCCCATGCGCGCTCACGGCGCTACGGAAGCCGGCAGACCAAACCAGCGCATTCAGCTCGGCAAAGAACTCATGCTCTTCCTCAACACTGAAGTCCTCAGACATTTTTCTTTCGTTGTTTCTTTCTTTGCACAGGTAAACAGCACATTTCTTCTTCTACGCTTGCATTATCGGCAGAGCAGACGCTGAATGCGCACTTCCTTCCGGTTTGGTCTGCCGGCTTCCGTAGAATCGTGAGCGCGCATGGGGGCGCTATTAGGAAATCCTATACACTACTGTTTAGGCTCTAAAACGTTCTAAATGACTTCGTTTCGAGTAAATTCTGGATGCTACCCACTCAGGACACTTGGATTACATTGGACGAGCAGTATGGAGGAATATTGACACGTTTTTGTGGACTTTTGTGGACCTTTCTGTCTCGGGCACAATAGACCTCCATTATTTGAATGTCAGCAGACAGCAAGAAGCCTCCCAGATCTCCAGATGCATTTGAGATATCAAAAAAGTACTCCAGAGTTTTGTTCAGCATGGGGGTGAGTAGAAAATGAAGGCTAATCATGTTTTGGGTGTACTATTCCTTTAATGTTAAGCATACTTAACAGTTTATTTCCACTATTGTTTAATTTTCATTAAAATATAACAGATTTAAGAATTCCTTCCCAAAGACCAAATATTTGAGATATTTACCCTTTTTTTTTAGATGTAAGCAATGTTTAAAAGTTTCTGTTTTAAGCTTCTAAAGCTATTTAAATAATGTCCAGTAGTTTCAGCTCCTGGCCAGCTGAAAGAAACTAATTAAAGTCGTTACTATTGCAACCAGGATAACAGACCCTCATTAAAGTGTGTTTAGGCCATTGTTTGCTCTTAATTAGTGTGATAGCTGAAAGTGATCACTGTTATCTTCAAGTATTGCTACTTTACATTTTGTTTGGTTTGCTGTGCACAATTAAAAAACTGGACTTTTCTACAAAGCATCATTTTTCATTATGATGTTGTATTATTTATTCATTTATTTATTTTGCATTTGGCCAATACAGAAAATTATATCAACATTTGAGATTTAGGTGGGCTCCCCGATCCAGTTGATTTTAATATGAATCACCTCTGTCAACGCAATTGAAAATAACATTTTCTTTTTGTGTTTAGCCCATACCTTAGGGAGCAGTGAGGAAAGTGTAGGACCCAAAGATCATTTTGGGGATAAGGGTCTGGAACAGGGACCCAGAATGACAAACTTAGGTTTTAAGCAATCTTGTGGTCTCTATAGAGCACAAATACCGTGCTATCTAATCACAAGGCCAGCGCTTGTGAGTCATCACATCTTTGCAACAAAATTAAGAACCTGTTGGTCTTAATTGACTTCCATCTATAGGGCTTTTGAGGCACCGTGGTAATCAGAGTAGTACTTCAACGATGACGCTAAATACAGGATTTACTTTAGGGGATTTTACACTGCAGTCGGTCTAACTTGGCACTTATTTAATTGATTCTTCCATTCTTTATACCTGCATATGATTTGTTAGGATGGAGGCTGGCTAAGATCTTTCAGTCTTGATCAGTAGGTAACAGGTGGGGGCCACCCAGGACTGGCTCTTACAAAATAATCGTTAGGATGAATTTACTGATTTGTGATTATATGAAAGAAAAAAGTGCTTTGGGAATTTTATAAGAGCCACATACTTTTCCATCTGGTGCCAAGTTGTGATTAAGTTTAACCTTATTGTTTTTTTTTTAGGTTACACATTTGATGAATAATTAAATAGTTAAGTTTAATTATATATCTAGTTATAGAACAATCTATAATGGGGTTTGGAAAAAAAAAGCAATAAGATTAAAAAGCTTAAAGGTATCAGGATGCAATGATAGTTTGATGGAGATGTTAACTTTGCTGCAACATACAGTATCTTCCTAAGGAAAGCAGATGGCAAGTATTGAACTAAATGACTCACTTTAAAACATGTAGAATATCCCTTGCTAAAATAGTTCAGTGCTGTGACTAACTATATGTTGAGAGGACAAACCACGCAAACCAAAAGCATTGACTGATCTGGGGGGAAAAAAGTGAATAAAAGTGTTAATTGCAGTCCCAGCTCTGTTAGTGGCTTTGTCCTAAAGAGAGACAAAGGTAAACAGACAAGGACTGATACATTATTATGATCTATGATGAAAAACAGAGTTTATATATAGCTATTTTTGGTGGCAGCTTTTTCAGTGGCTTTGATGGAGGGAAAAGGGAAAAATAATTAAACACTGAGTGGGAGGATGTCGTCAACAATAAGAACACAGAGTCTTATGTATGAATGGATTGGATGAAGACCATATCCAGGAAAGAGACGAATAAAGCAAACAGAACACCAGACACCATGTGCAGCTTCTGTAAAGACTAAAAAAAGGAGGGCAGCAATAACTGAAAGAGAGAAGTAGAAGAAAATACCCAATAATATCTGTTATATGATTAAGATTTCTTTTTCTTGAGAAAAAAAATAACCCATTGTACTTAGTTGTACTGAAAAAAAAAACAGAACTGCACAAATATTTCAATTAAGAAATGAGTTGTATTACTTTATGCAGAAGGGTTATGCTCTTATGGCGTTTTGTTTAACATGCAGTTAAACAAAACGCCGTCACTGGTTTGTTGTTGTCATTAGCTGCTAAATGGTTTCCTTGATTACAACCAAGTATACTTCTCCTGTGCATGAGAGAAACTTATTAATATCGACCCTTTGTTCTGTTTACTTTGGAAAATTGAACTTATAATAGAGATGACATTACGTCCAAGACCTGTGCTCTGAATTTAAATTTTTAAAACCTGCCATTTGCTAATCACTTAGTGCTAACAACTGATAGTAATATGAGAAAATGACTATCTTTCCATTTTATTGGTTCGAACAGCAAAGTAATATCTCATTTAGATTTTATATAGTGCAATATGTGCCAATGTAAACTACTCATCCTTTCTATTATTAAATATTTGATATACTACATGATTTTCTACCTGATTCTACTTACAATTTCCAGTCAGGGAAGTCTGCACTAGTTGCGGTCAGTCAGAAGGGCAAGTTGGCACAAAAACCTGTTAGTGAGAGATAGGGTGAAGCCTGGAGTCTTCAAAGGTGTGAATGCAATAGACTCAACCTGACCTAGAATGTTAGAATATAACTTAATAAACTGATATTTCACAATGAATTATTGTGAAACATAGAGTAAACTTACTTGTCAAACTTTCTGTTTATTTAGTTGAACAATCCATCTACGTATACAAGGTGTTGCTGCAGTGTGCAGAAACGTATATGAAAACCTTCTAACAATCCCAAGTAACATTTTTCAAACTCAACAGGGGTGCAACAATAAAATGCAGTCAACACAGTCCAATTTGAATTCTCCTGTGGGTAAATTCTGACGTATTTTATATCCAATTTCTTTCATTTTGTTTGAGATTAGGATAAATGAAATAATGTATTGTATTGTTAACATCTAAAAAAATTGGAAAATTAACTTTATTGATCTAACTATGTAATTAACTCTTCATTTAACCCATCCCCTTTAGGGAGCAGTGGGCTCTCTGGGGGAACAATCGGGCGTTAAGGTTTTTTCTCAAAGAGCCAGATTGGCAGTCGGTTTCAAACTCACAACCTCAAGCTTCCAAGCCCTATGCCTTAACCTCTAGGCCACCACTTCCCTAATAATGCCCCCAGTATCTAAGATTAATTATACTCCTAAATTATCAATATTTTAGCTGTTTTGTGTCAAAGTACATTGCAATTGGTTTTAAATGTTTCTTTCAAGATTTATTCAATTATTGCTTTTCTCATCTTGGAAGTAGTTCTGCTAACTTTTTCAACACATTGAAATTATTTTTTTTGACAATGCAGATTAAAGCCTACACATCTGTAATATCATAAATGTTTAGCTTATAAGAGTTTTTAACTCTAGGTTGGTGGAGTTGTTAGTTTTAGCAGCCTTCAACAGCTTTTCATAAAAACAAACAAAACAAAAGCTCTTCTAATCTTGATCCTTGAGCTGTGCATTTTCTGACACCGATGACAGAATGTATTTATCAAGATTACCTACATATTTGATAGGTTTAATGTTTCTTAAATTGGTTTTGGAATGAATGTTGTTCCTCTTTTTTTCAGCCTCACGGGTGGGCTGTTTTCCAGCATCAGAGCCATGAATTATTACTTGATAAGATGTACTGCTTTATTATGGATTGTGAACTCTGTTCCTCATGCTTTTGGAATGGCTGTGACTGAACAGACAGGTATGTTCGTTTGTTAACGATTATTATTTTTTCTCTGAAGCTCTGAAAGGTTTAAATATAATTTCCCTAATTGTTAAATATCAAAACAACCTTTTTATTAAGTTTGAAACATTTAACATGCAGATTAAGGGCCATTTCTTTAACGTTGCTTTTCCTTACAGGATTTTGTTAGGATGAAAATTGTAATGAAAGATTTAAACAAATTCTTTTTGGCTTCTTTTTCATAGATGGTGTTTGTCCCTCTTTAATTGTGGAGGATTACAGGTTTTCTGATGTTTTAGATCGTCCTTTAATGATCACAGGTAATTGCTGATGCAAAAGGCTTTATTCAATTAGAAATTCACCATATGTAACGTTGTGACACCTTGTGGCTCTGTTTTACAGGGTTTGATCTCACAGAAAAATTTCTTCTCCGAAGGGGAACAGTTACAGAAGAACTACCATCTTTTCGTCTAGGAAGCAGCCCTCTTATAAAGCCAACAAAGTAAGATTGGATGTGCTTTTCCCCAACATTGTTTTTCTTCTAATAATCGATTTAAAAAGAGGACCAGAGAGATTGTTGCTAAAATCAAGGAATTACATTTTGGATCCTCACTGGGGAAGCCTATTGTATGGAGTTAGAAAAAGAGCTTTTGGATGATGTAAGGAAGAGCATTTTCGCTTTCTTCTATGCCATGGCGCCGAGAGCCAAATTTTAACCTTGCATAATTACTTCAAGTGTCATGGGAGCTTGGCTGTCTGATCAACATGTGTTTTGTGGATCTGGAGGAGGCTTATAAATGTTATCCCTCAAGGTACTTTGTTGGGATAACTGTGGGAGTATGTGGTTCTTGGCATGTTTTAAAGTGATTTTTAGTTCTTGTTGAATCATAGCAAGAGTTGTGTCCGCCCAAAATCTGGCCTTTCAATAGTTCAAAGTGGACTGTATTAATGCTGCCTTTTGTCACTGATCTTGTTTTTAGTGTTCATGAACAGGAACTAAGCAGAGTATCTGTTTTTTTTTTCTTTTTTCTGTTTTTCTCCAGAAGAAGCCTTTAGCATGTATTGGTAGAGATGCTGCCATTCCTCTGCATCAACAAGAGCCATTTGAGTTAGCTAAGATATGAAATCTAGATGATTTGTTGGTATATTCTTTTAGAGGTTTCCATAGGATGTGACACCAAGGAAAACCAAAAACTTGAAGTAAGGTGTAAAGTGTCACTGATGGAAAGGATACCTTGTTTTTTTTCTCCTGGACATGTTACCTTTGCCACCTGATCTTTGATAAGTTTAAGACAGAAGATTTCCTTTCTTTTATTTATAGCTGGATAAATTGTCTTGTAAAATTCATTGAAGGGTTGAACCAAGGCAACCCACATATATCATGTCCAGAGCAAAAGTCCCATTTACCTTATTTAGTAAGGACAGCCAGTGAAGTGAGTTCATTGACGGAGAATAAATTGAATTAATATAGGTTGCATTTATTCAAAAAATCTCCTTGAGGCTGAATGTGGGACTTAAAGGGACATAAAATTTTAGATTATGGATAATAAGACAGGAATATTGAAACAACTCCATAAATGACACACTAGGGCGTAATTCTTCTGGAAAATTGTCATTTTCCAGCTAACTGGGTGGGTAGTAAGATTTCCTCATGTTGAAGATAATTTGCTTAAGTGGCTAACCTATTTATCATATTATGAAGGCTCGCGTCTTTCAGTAAGCTTTGTATTACATAAAAAAAAAACAATGTCATTTATGACTTGGCTTACTCTGATGCTCTGGAAGTTCTGGAGAAGATCACTGTTTCCCATCTTAAGGTTTAAACACTAAAAGGGTAGGCTGTCATTCTTCAAGAAGGGCTGGGTATTTTTAGTATTTTTACGTGCACTGTAAACATTTACGGCCACCGTCCTCCTGGCTGGGTAAATGTATCATTGAGCCAGATGATTTGCGAGCTGCTTTCCTGTGAGCCAGCTGCAAATACATTTACATTTAAGTCCTCTCATTCAATATGAACCTATAATGGAAGGAGATGTTGGTTTTGTAGTGGCGCTGCTGACAGTGTTGTTGGTTATAGTGGCTAGGCTGTGATCCCTCTCATATCCAATTATCTAAGTACTTTGACAGGTGATACTGCACGTCAGCTCAGGAGGAAAGCAAGGTTAGTTGCATGTAGAGAATGAAGCCCCCTTAGCCACTGCCCCTGCCATAAAAAAAACATTGCTCACTGTACTCCAGGGATATGCAGCCCTGTGCTTTATTCTCCAAATCTAGCAGACGATCTGCCAGCTACTTGACACAATGCTCATTGTGGCACATAGATCATGGCTGACACACTCTTAAAGCAGTTATGTGAAGTGACAAATTGCCTGCCATAATGCACCATGCACTCATCCATACAGTGGTAAAGTTTAGGAACAGTTGTTCAGTCTCTTTAAAAAACATCTGTGTTACATCCTCCTCAGTTTACATGTTAACCTGTGTTTATAATCATATATGATTTATTTATTAAGTTCCATTGGAATATGTCCTTGACATCTTCAGTGTAATTTTTTTCTGTGCAGTGCGGATAATGAGTGTTAATAATAGTATAGTTCTCTTTGCTTACAGGTTTTGCAAATGAGTGTCTATTTTGCTCCATGTTAGATAGCAGGCAGCCACACTTGAGTGGAGCTTTTTGGCTGTTTCCTTGTGTAGCATAATGAGTTGTAAAGGCAGAATGCATGCTCATTATTTTGTCTTTGTTCAAATTCCAGCTTTCATATGCTTTGGGGGTGGGTGTTTAAGAATGCCATCCGTGTTTGCTGTTTTGTGAGATAATCAGAAGCTTTAAGTGAAGCTGGCTGCATTTCTCTCTAACGAAAATATTTTATACTAGTTATTTTGCAAGCAAACATATGCTCTCAGAGTTGAAATACACGATGAGCCGAGACAGAAAATGATTGCATGAAGTCAGTGTTTTGTGTTGGTTTTCAGTTTGTGGTTTCTGGTAGCAATGCTTTGACACTTGCTCAAACCATTACTTCTAAATGTACTTTCTAAGCTTCCTTTGGAATTACAATCTGGATTACAATCATTCAGGATCAGATCAGATGATTATTTCTACACCATGTCACAAAGTGGTTCACTAGCTCTCTGTACTGAGATTTTTGCCCATCTTTGATGGACCCAATGTTTGCAGTCATCTGAGTATTTCTGCAGCTGACAGGACATGGTCTGGAACTAAAAATCAGATATGCACAGAGCAAAAAGGAATGGAGAGAGTACTGCCCCCTGTGATGCTCCTGTGCTACTGAATACTTGATTAGACAGTTAACCCTTCAGTCTAACAAACTTTGGTCTGTTTGTTAGGTAGTCTATGATCCAGGCGATTGTTGATGCCTCTACCTGTGTTTTCTGAAGTTTATTTATTTATTTATGGTTTCTAACCTGAATAAAATCCAGTGTGAGAACCACATTTTCACAGAATATTGCTACCATCAATTCATTTCAGTTCAGTTTCTTTATATAACGCCAACTTACACCACATGTAATCACAAGGCACTTTACATAGAGTTAGTCACAGTAAGAGAAACAGGACTGGACTTAAAAACAGGCCAAGCTCCAGCATCAACAAGCTGCTGGCATCAACAAAGATGTTGATGGCTGCAGCCATGTTTCAGTGTGGGGAAGGTAGACATTTTTCGCATGTTCTCAAGCATGATGACATGTTTTATAGCTGTTGTGTCAACATATTCTTCGTAGCTGTGCATCTCCACAGCTCCTCCTGAGGTTACTGTTGGCCTCTTGGCTTTTACTCTGATTAATGCCTTTCATGGGGCTTATGAAAGGAATTAATTATGCCAAACCTATTAAAATCTGGATGGTTTGCATTTGTGCCATAGTTTTTCCTCAAAACCTTTCCAGAACAGATGCACCTATAACTTAATTGCATGAATTACACAAAGGTTTTTTCTATTCAATTGGTAGCTTCTAATGGTAATCAGTTGCATCTTATTTAGGGGTGTTAGATTGGAGGTGCTTAAGATAAATGCACGGTAGACTTTTCAACTTTTTTTTTTTTTATATATAAAAGAACCCTAAACATTTTTGCTTTCCTTAACTCCAATTTTTCTCTGCTTTTTGTTGGTAGCTTCCAACTACAACTATTGAATTTTGTGACAGTTACATCACAAAAGCCTTAAGAAAGCACTGCACATGTTCAAGAGTAAATGCATCGACTGCAGAATTGTCTTCATGTATTTGTCTTCATCAAACTTTAATCCATAGAATAAAACCATCACATGAACCGAGGGGAGAAAAGAACATGTTTATTGCTGTATGAAATCTAAACATCAGTTAACTCTAAACCACATCATATTTGTTGCTGCAAATTAGTCATATTGAAATTAGGCTTGTCTGAGACAGAGTTGGCAGAATCACACACTTAGTGTAAAAGCCTTTTTGGCAGTATAACATGGTGGGAGGGAGAATGAATGAACATCCCTCTTATTGACTCATTAACATCTATTTAAGCATGCAGAGTAGCATTTCAGCAAAGAATCAAACACACAGCTTTCAAACTTAAGCAACACTGAGCTTTGAAGCTTTTACTATTTTAGCTTCTAAGAGCCGTTAGCATGATGTCAAGAACTTTACCCCTTCGAGAGAAGGTGTATAGGACACATCAATGCGCTACTAGGTTTTGAAACATGAGGACTCTTAGTGGGCACTTTAGAAAGAGGAGTGTGAACTATCTGGCTCTTAAAAAACAGTTACGTTGTCCTCTCTATTTAACATTTCACAAGCAATGTTTGTAAGGACACTCAGTGTTCAGTGACTCCTTTTATATAAATCCTTTACTCCTTATAATCTACCTTTCAGTGTATGTTTAGCAGCAACAGGTACCATAGCCTCATGTTCCTTGCTAGACTTTTAATTTAAAACTGCATTGACGCATCTAGTTTCAGCTGAAATGAGTCTAGCCATAAGATTTTCACAATCCTGAGGCCTTTGATTATTTCAGTCGTGTGTGTTTATAAGAACGTCTTTGTGAAAATAACAGGTGATAGAAGGCTGTGAGAGAATAGGAGATGATATATTGGAGTGAAAACTCATTTCTAACCTGTCTAATGAGGCTGTTTCTCTCTTACAGAGCCACAATTGAACGCAGCAATCTCAATGGCCCTATCATGGCATTATTATTATTTTTCTTTGCTGATCTTGTTTCATTTTGCCTATGCTTTTTCTATTTTAGTTGCTAATTTGACAGGAGCTAGGGCCATAAGATAACAGTCTTTTACAAAATGCCTTGCACATATTTTGTTTTTTTATGTGCTGCAATGTTATATTTTATTTTAAGTTTACAGGTAAGGATGTTTTTTTTTTAAATTATATTTAGCTATTTCTATATTTTTCTACGCTGAAGTTTTATTTATGTTTCTGCTTGAGCTGGGTGCAACTTCACTTAACTGTTTATGTCATAGCAATGAATGGGTGACGGCATTTCATCACACATACACATGACTGTAGCATATGATGTTCAGGTGCACTAAAAGATTAGGCTTTGGATCAATGTCTGTATGTTTTCATTACCTAAATGATATGAGAGCCTAGAAAAAAAAATGCCAAATGGATTTAAGCTTGTCATGTTTATTTATCGCAGTCCCTCTCCATCTAGAGGATGCTAAAATGTTTTATTGTTCACAAAACTTGATTTGCTCTTTCATTAGGCAGTTGCTGAAATCTCTTAAGTTGTATAATTTTTATTCTGAAAATAAATTGACCTAGTTTGAAAAAAAAAAAAAATATATATATATATACAAGTACAGTGGTTAATGTCAAAATGCATTTTTTTTTTCAGATTGATATTTCCAGAGGGACTTTCAAGTGAGTATTCGCTGGTGTCCATCTTCCGTGTGAGACGAACTACAAAAAAAGACCGCTGGTACCTTTGGCAAATATTTGACCAGTCAGGAACTAGCCAGGTAGGCATGCTGTAAAGTCACACAGTGATTGTCAGAAGTTCGCATCACCAGCTTTTTAATTTGGACTTTAAAGCATAGATTAGAATGCTTTTTTTCTCTCAGGGTTGAAGGATGATACAACAATCAATTTAGGAGAATTTAACAATTTGGAGTTAATGGCACAAAGATATTATCTAATCTAAACAAGATAAAAAAAAATCACATCTACAGGCTCAAATATATCAGATATATGCACCCACCACTACAGAGAGGTGGATAAATGTCCCTTAGCAAGTGACAATTCCAACAAGCTTTAGGTTGCCTTTAATGAGCCCTCTCGGATAATTCTGGTTCAGTATTCAAAACTATTTTTTATATGATATTGGAGTTTATTGACATTTGTTTATAACATTCATTTAGCTTAGTTAAAAAATGTAAATCTAGATTGCAAAGCTTAATGATACTCTGCTGTCATCTTGAAACCTCCAAACTGGATTTTTATATTTGTTACTAAAAATCCCCCAAATTTTTCACTACATTGTAGAAAGTGGCTGTTCAGTGTTGCAGTGGTTAGCACTTCTGCCTTGCAGCAAGAAGGTTCTGGGTTTGATTCCCGGCCTAGGGTCTTTCTGCATGGAGTTTGCATGTTCTCCCTGAGCATACGTGGGTTCTCTCTGGGTACCCCGGCTTCCTTCCACAGTCCAAAAACATGACTGCGACCTGTCCAGGGTGTACCCTGCCTCTCGCCCATTGACTGAAAGATAGGCACCAGCACTCCTTGCGACCCCACTTGGGACAAGCATGTCAGATAATGGATGGATGGATGGATTGTAGAAAGCAACACTGGTATTTTAGATGTTTCTTACAGTATAGGTTTGAGAACTAACTTTTTTTGGTTGCTTCTAAAAATCCTGATCCATATCAGAATATTTATTTTTTAACTATTTATTAACTATTATTAGCTACAAGATTGAGGCTAAAAAATATAACATAAAATAACTAAGAAAAAAAAATCAAAAGAAAAATTAGAGGACTGATCAAATATTCTCCCAGAACTTTAACAGAACTCTGTGGATGGCTCCATAAAAGCTGGAGTTATTTTATTTATATTACACTGCAATCACAGTGGATTAGAGAAAAAAAACAAAACAATCAACAACAATAAACTCAAATTGAAGTTGATTACTGTATCATCTTTACTCTCTGGGAAATGAATGCTTTAAGTGCATTACTAAAGGCTCTGAATTATTTTATCATTCACAGTTTCTATGATGAGTAAAAAAAGAAAATGTAATCAGCAATGCACATAGTAAACAAAACATTACGATTCTGTAAGTACAAACTGCCATTAAACTCTTCTTCATTCCTCAGGTGTCTGTGGTGGTTGATGGCGATAAGAAAGCAGTGGAGTTTTCCTACCAGGGCTTACTGAAAAACTCTCTCCGCTATACATTTAAAAGTCGTGACCTGCACGTCCTCTTTGATCGCCAATGGCACAAGCTCGGCATTTCTGTTCAGACTGATGTAGTCTCTATTTATGTGGACTGCAAACTGGCTGAAAAGAAAATGACTGATGAGAGGGACAACATCGATCTCAATGGGCGCACCCTAATTAGCACACGGATAGAAGATGGAAGGCCTGTGGATGTATGTTATGATACATTTTAAAACACTTTTTTTGTTGTTTTGGAATTAATTTACATATATCATATGGGTATATCCATATTTATTGGAACAGCTAGTAAATTTATGTAAAATGCCACTAAATTGATTTTTGGTGGAAGCATTATCTTTTTGAGGGAGGAAAGTTTCATAAAGCAAATACATGAATGTGTTGTAAAATAGTTATTTGCAAAAGTGACATATAAGAATACGTTTAATAAATAAACTTAAGGTAATAAATTCATGTATGTGTTTGTTTAAATGTTTCACTAATTTGACAGATTCATAAAGAAATAGTAAATCCAGTAAATGTTAAAATACTATGTAATTTACATCCATTTTTAAAAAGAAAACTTTTCTAATTTTTTAAGTATATCTTCCCCATCAAAGCTGTTTGGCAGGGTAAACTCTGCTCTAGACAAGTTAATTGGTCTAAATGGAGATGCAGTGCAAATTAAATAGGGTAGGCTGCCTTTAATTACCCACACAGACTGTTTGAATTACTTCATGATTAAATGTTACAGATTTATATTCGGAAACGTATGCTGGAGTTAAAATCATAAAACATGCAGCCTTAAATAATTCAACATGTAAATATTTTTGTATTGGGTAAATTATTTTAACTATTGACTAATTATGTCAATACTTAAAGACATTTATTTTGAAATATATTTAAAGTCTCCCATTATTTAACAAATCATATTTTTATGGATTGAAAACATGTTTAAATTCAAATTTAAATTGATATTTTGTTGAGATAAATTGTAGCTGTTTTTTTAATTTATTTTTTTTTTACCAAAATTGCTAAAATGAGTACCAGTCCATCCAATTACTACAGTATGAAGTCCAGCTAACTTAAGCATGTAACCTAAGGATTTTGCAATATTTACTTTTTCTCCCATTATCTAACAAATCTTATTTTGATGGACTGAAAACATGTTTAAATTCAAATCTTTATTTTAAAAGGATAATTTATTGAGATAAATTGTAGCTGTTTTTTTTCTTTTCTTTCTTTAATGAAGTTACTGTTTCCCTAGTGAAAGTCACAGCAAATTTCCAACTACAAAGAAACATTAAGGCTGTTTATTTAACTTTTATAGGAGATGAAAAATAATTATGAGGAGTTACTGGAACTTTTTCAGAGTGATTTTTTTCTAAAAAGTTTACAACTTTTTCCTTATTTGATAAGCCATGTACGGCTAATTAAATGCAATGAAATGCTTTAAATCATTCTTCAGGGACATTTCTCCTTGACTGGTGTAAATCTTCTATTGATTCACTGCTATAAGCTTCCTTTAGTAGCTGGACCTACGGGCTAAAAAGAAACCTAAGGTCAGCTTTGCCATCTGATCACGCATGTCTTTGAATAGAAGTTGGCTTAAGTTGGATTACCAGCTGACTTTTCACTCCATGTTATTCATATTTTACACAAATCACTAAGGATCTGGGAGCCTTGCAGGAGGTAAAGCATTTAAGCACACATTGTTATTTCAATTTAGAGTATCCAAACTATTTGTAGTAATCATAGGATCCGTTTAATACTGTTGTGATAGCTAACCGGACGTATTTAGATGATGTAACCAAAGAAACACACATTGTGTACGAATATGTTAAGCAACTGTTGGATGTTGCATCGATTTAATTGTGTGTTTTGTTAACAGATCGAGTTGAGACAAATTTTGATCTACTGTGACCCTTATATGGCTGAGATGGAAAATTGCTGTGAGCTGCTTGAGCCAAAGGTAAAAGCTGTTCTTATTTTTAACAACTTATACTCTGTTGGGTTTTAACCAAAATGCCAGGTTTATACTGATGTATAGGATTCGGGTGGTTTTGATTATATAAGTTTAAAAAAAATGTGGCACTTGTGAAATTAGAAATTGTAAAATGTTGAAAGGATGATATCTAAAACGATCATGTTGATGTATTATATGCATGACTGTACCTCAAACTAAAGAAAAAGTGTTGTTGTTCACTATTTACTCTAACCTGGAGTTAGGTTAGCAAATTTCCTAAATGCAACAGAACTAAACTTTTGCTGTTTATTAGTTTATGTGACATTTGTGGTTAAACAGATTTTCTGATGCAGTATAATTATAAAAGTCAAGTTGAAGAAGACAAGAATGTTCTTTAATAATTATTTACTGCACAGAAACTTAATATATGGAGTATTTTATAAGAAATTGAATCAATTAGAGTGAATGGTTTATATATATATATATATATATATATATATATATATATATATATATATATATATATATATATATATATATATATATATATATATATATATATATATATATATATATATTTATTATGTATATTTTCTCTTTCAAATAAAAAAATGACCTTTAACCTCAGCCCATTATGTATGTCCACAAGGATACCGTCATGTCAGTGTAAGGTTACTCTAAGGGAGTTCTGACTTTCCCAATAGACTTATCACAGAATGCAGATTAAGAGATTGATTTGCTCAGCTGCACAGTGAGAAAGACAGAAAGAAAGAAAGAAAGAAAGAAAGAAAGATTTTTTTGATTTTTAACACCACATTTATTTTTCAATAACAATACATTTTAACCTAGCTCAATACATCTTTCACACAAATATTGAACTGAAAACTAGCTCCTCATCAACCACAGAACACACAACATTATTAAAACACCACAACAACACAAAATCAATTAAGTTATTCATCATTGAAAAAAACATAAATTCTGCTTTTACTCTACTTTTTACCAACAAAATAAATATCTTATCCACTCTTTCCCCCTGACCACCATTGACTTTATTTTTCATATCAACATAGATGGATAATTTTGCTTGTCCAATGAGAAAATTTAACAAATTCCACTTGCTCGACTCCTTTTTAGTGTAACCAGCACCAAAAATAAAAGCTATGTCAGACCAATAAACACCACATTTTTTAAAAACATTCTCTAATAACATAAACAATGGTGAGAGTCTCTTACACTCGAGAAACATGTGAAAAACGGTTTCTATCTCTTCACAAAAAGGACATAACTCACTCATATCTTTCCTGAATTTAACTACAAAACTGTTTACACCTATAGCACCGTGCAAAATTCTCCACTGAAGGTCCCCCACCCTCTTACTCAAGGGGGCCTTATAAAAAACTCTCCAGATTGGTTTCCGACTATCTCCGACTTTAAACTTGGCTCTCCAAACCGTATCAGTTCTTCCACTTAAATGTTTCTTTTTCAACCCTTGAACAACTAATTTATACAAACATTTTCCATTCAACATACAGAAATTAAAGTCTCTTTGAGTGATCAAAAGAGGACCCGTTAAATCCGAGAAATCAATGTTCAGTCCCATTTCTGGAAACGGATCTGTAGAATTAGGGAAGTCTTCTCCATTACTCAAGTCCTCCAGAAACTGTTTTTCACCCAGCGTCAGCTTTCCAAGCCACTGGTCCAAAATAGTTCTCATAACTCGGATCGACTTTAAACCAAGCAGATGAGCCGTCGCTTCTGTGTTTTTAAGTCCTGGTCCAGCCGTCTTCACAACGTGTCCAAATTTTAAAACTTTATTCTGAAGCAGTCTTCTTGACACTCCAAATCTATCTTCTAGCGCCAAACGAGCTTCGAAAATTAAAGGTTCCTCTAGAAGCCAAAACAAGGATGCAGTTGGTTCAAGTCTTTTCCATTCGAAAAGTGTCCAAGCTCTAAACAAACTTTTATAAAACACCGGCATTTCATACAGAAATAATGACTTACAATTTAACAAAAAAAGAGAAGCATCTAAACCAAAGCTTCCAATTCTCCTCAGAATAATACTTGTTATTGGCTTCCACAAAACATCCTCCTCCCTTCCCATTAGATATTTTTGAATAAACTGCAACCTGAACGCAGCAGTTCTGCTTTCCAGGTGAACTAAACCTTGTCCACCCTCCTCCTTAGGTAAGAAAAGCACGGCTTGGGGCACCCAATGTTTATCATCCCAAAAAAACGTAATCATACAAGACTGAATTTTGTTCAGCAATCCAGCAGGCGGTTCTAAACAAGCTAACTTGTGCCACAATAAAGAAGCAATTAAATTATTTAAAATTAGCACTCTTCCTCTATAAGAAATCTGCCGTAGCAGCCATCTCCATTTTGATAACCTTTCTTCCACTTTTTCCATCACTCCCTCCCAGTTCATTTTTTCTGTATCTTCATCCCCCAAATGTACCCCAAGATACTTTAAACCCCCTCTTCTCCATTTTAAACCACCTGGAAGTCGAGGAAGCCCACTAAGCCAGCTTCCTATTGCTAGGGCCTCACTTTTCGCCCAGTTGACACGAGCAGAGGACAACTTACAAAATGACTCAACAATTCTACTTAAATTATTCACTTCTTCTTGATTTTTAACCATGATAATGACATCATCAGCATACGCTGATAAAGTAAAAGACACATTACAACTAGGAAACACCAGCCCCTCAAAGTTTAACCTAATTTTTCTTAACAGTGGTTCAATAGACAAAGCATATAACATTCCAGACAAGGAACAACCTTGTCGAATACCTCTTGTAACTTCAAAAGGCTTACATAAGCAACCATTAATTTTCAGTACACTCTCAATGTTTTCGTATAAAACCATAATCTTGGCAATAAAACCGAAGTCGAGACCGAACCTTTCCAGCACTTTCCATAGGTATCGATGCTCGACTCTGTCAAAAGCCTTTTCCTGGTCTAAAGAAACTAAACCAGCATTATATCCCAAAAAACTGGAGACGTCCAAAATATCCCTAACAAGGGAAATATTATCAAACATTGATCTGCCAGGGACACAGTAAGTTTGTGTTTGATGAACCACCTGATCCATCACCTTCTTCAGTCTGTTTGCCAGCACCTTTGACAACAATTTATAGTCCGTACACAACAGAGAAACAGGTCGCCAGTTTTTAATCTCCTGAAGATCACCTTTCTTTGGTAGCAGTGTAAGAACTGCTCTCCTGCAGCTCTGAGGTAAAGAACCTACAGCAAAACTCTCTTCAAAGACCTCCAAAAGATCGATACAGAGGACAGACCAGAACGCTCTGTAGAATTCACTGGGAAGTCCATCGATGCCTGGTGCTTTCCCTCCGTCCATACTTCGCAGGGCAGCATGAATCTCCTCCAGCGTCATGGGTTCTCCCAACTCCTTAGCAACATCTTCAGAGACCCTTGGGAGATCACTGCAAAAGTCATTGAAATTATCGTCGTCTTCAACGTATTCAGAGCTGTATAGATCCGCATAGAACTCTGCAGCTCTCTTCCTGATGTCACCATCAGTAGTCAGAAGAACATCCTCAGATGATTTCAGTCCATGCATAAACTTACACTGTCCTTGCTTTTTTTCCAAAGAGAAGAAAAACTTTGTCGGTGCGTCCATTAAAGTGACTTTCTGAAATCTGCATCGAACCATTGCTCCTTGGGTTCTTGAGCCTAGCAAATCAGCCAAAGCGGCCTTTTTCAAATTGAGGTTCTCCAAATCACCTCGATTTCCTGTGGAGTGTGCAGAAACCTGCAACTCCACTATCTCAATCTCCAGATCTCTAATAGATTTGGTTAAATTCGATGAAACATTGACCGTGTACTGTTGACACAATTCTTTAATTTCAATTTTCCCCCGATCCCACCACTGTCTTAAAGACGCAAAGTCATCTTTTCTAGTTTTATGCATTTTCCAAAAAGAGACAAACACATCTCTAAAATGTGCATCTAACAACAAAGCAGTGTTAAAATGCCAATACGCTGATTTATGTTTAATATTGGCAATAAAAGCATTGCAGGAAACCAACGCATGGTCTGAAAAACTTACAGGATGGATACTACAGTTTTGAAAAATTCCAAAATTATGTCTAAAACTATATATCCTGTCTAACCTAGCTGCAGAAAAAGAAGCATCTGTGTTTCTAGCCCATGTATACTGTATTTCATGACCATGCATTTCTCTCCAAATATCAACCAACGAAAATAAATCAACCAAGTGCTTTAAAAACATTGTTGAGGCTGGATGAGGCTCAAGATGATTCCTGTCCAACTGATCATTCTCTGTACAGTTAAAATCCCCACCCAAAAAAAGAAAATCATCGGTATCACACTTAGACAATACATCTTCAATTTCATGTAACAAATTAATTCTCCCCACTCTTGTATTGGGGGCATAAACATTTACAAAAACAATATTAAAACACTCGTATTTTGCTTTCACCACCATTAATCTACCCTTGACTACTTCCTCAAAATGATAAGACACTGGAAGAAAATTCTTCGAAAACAAAATTGCAACTCCCCCACTGGCTTGGTTTAAATGGCTCAAAATAATTTCTCCTCCCCACTCCCTCCTCCAATCTATTTCAATTAAAGAGTCACTATGTGTTTCTTGTACCATTAACACATTTATATGTTTTAAATTCATTAACTCAAAAACACTAATTCTCTTCTTGACATCTCTGGCTCCATTTAAATTTAATGTGGAAACTCTGAAATGACTCATTTCTGCCAAAGATGAAAGAAAAAACACTAAAAAATAACACAGACATCTAAACCTCAGATTCATCATTGTTGTTGTATTCTTGCTTGATTTTTCCAATCAATTTTTTTAACCGGTAGACTTCTTTATCATTATATCCTCCTTTTCCCTTGTTCTTCAACTGAGATCCCACATACATGAAGAAAAGTTTCTTGTCAGGAAAAAAGTCCTCTACTTTTACATTCTTCATATTCTTAGTTACTTTTAAAAACTTTTTAACATCTAATACACCATAACCTTTCTTTCGTTGAGCTGGTGTTAGGGATCTGCTAGATGAGGCTAAACTGTCTTCTGTCCAGCCTTCATCTTCACCGTCCCCCTCCTCTTCCTCATCCAAATTACTTTCTGATTCCAGCATTTTTTCTGAACATTCCAATTCTGTATCCCTGTCATCATTTTCAATTTGAGAAACAATAGAGCCTTCAGAAAATTTCCTTTTTTTGACAAGTTCCCCACCATCTTCCTCCATGGTCTGACTAGAACCCTCAATCTCAGTGTCTGTTTTCTCAAGAGGAGACTTTAGCAAACTCTGGCTCTGTCCCTCCTCACTGCTGTTTTCTTGCTTTTCTTGTGAATCATTTACCGTTTGACTTTCCAAGGCCTGTTCTCCATCCTCTAACACATATATCTCCTGCACTTCCCCTTCGCTGCGGACATTTATCTCAGATATTTGCCCTTCTGTTTTTTTGGCCTCCGCATTCCTCAAATCTGAATCTTCAGTTTGATTCGTCAAATGTTCGCCTTCTTTATTCTGATTTTGAGAATCATCAGAAGATTTTTTTCCCGGACACGCTCGAACAAAGTGACCAATTTCACCACAACCGAAACACACCAAAGTACCAGAGTTTACGTAAATGGCGTAATCAAAACCATCTACCCGCACATTGAGAACAAAATTCAGATCTTCATCCTTTTTATTCAAGATCATAAGAACCTGTCTCCTGTGTGAAACGACGTGTTTTAACTGCGGTGATTTGCAACCCGACGGTAATTTCCTGATCGCGGACACAATTTTCCCATGACGCGACAACTCTCTCACTAACAAATCATCACTAATGAAGGGAGGAATATTCGCAATCGAGACCTTTTTAGCTGGATTACTCAATGGAGAAACAGACAAAAAAACGTCATTGACAACAATGCCTTTTTCGATCACTTTGTTTGCCTTCTCCACGCTGTCAACAAAAATAACCACAGCGCTGTTCATCCGAGCAGCGGATTTAATGCTGCTACAGCCTACAACTTCTCCCACCGCTAGACTACATTCCTCCACTGTCAGAGTGGGACTATTGGGTATGATCTTCAACCCATGTTGTCTCGTTAATTTGGTGAAATTCATTTCCGGCATTTTGAGCCAAAAAGGCCAAAAATGCCGGAACAACCCACAAAAATGTAATCAAATACACTCAGTCTCGCTCCACAACCACAGTACTTAAAGAACAATACCCATACAAAAAGCAAAAGAGGTGAAAAAAGCAAAGTTAGAAGTTCTCAATCTCTCAGTCCACTCACCACACGCTCCTCCACCAACCCCCAGCATGCAGTGCGAAAGAAAGAAAGAAAAAGATTGTTGAAAATAAACAAAAAATCAGTATAAATTGTCTGATTGGTGAAATTTCTGTATTGATCCAGTGTGGAGTCGAAAGGACATTTACTGGGACCTCCCCTCCCCCGGTTACAGCCCAGAGTCCCCTGGTGCTGTCTCAGCCGACCTCACAGTCAATTGACAGATGTCACTGTCCAGCAGAAAAGGTATAATCAATTCCTCTCAACAAGGGCTTCTAATTGACTCTAGGGTAATGGCCATTGTAAGTGAGACAGCTCTTATTTGATGTCACACGAACTCTATCCTTTATGGGCAGCTAAACGCCCAGTTAAAAGGCATCTAGTTCTGAAAGTATTAACAAATGCTTATGCAATTTATATAAGCGTAGTGGCTAAACACTGTGTAAAGCCTTTGTCAAAAGTTACAAAAAATCTTTTGCAAAAATGACCTAATTTTAAAATGGAGATTGTGCTCTTCTTCTGCTTAATACATTCTATCTTTCATTCTTTATTGACTTTAAAGGCCAAATATGATCATATATTTGAGCATAAAAACTAATAAATCTTGAAAGTATGAGACAGCTTTACAGCACTCAGCTTAACAACTTGTTTTCTAAGAACATAGGTTTTAAAAAAAAATCTTAAGATGCTTGTCACTTGTGTCATGATTATAGACCATTTACTAAGGTGACCGACAGATGCAAACACGCAGTAAGGCTTGAAACAAGCTGAAAAAACGTGTTGCAAACTTCAAAACACACAGGCACAAAAACCTAATACAAGAGAAAAACGTTGCAAACAAAAATATATGATGCAAGTTCTAAAACACGCAAATACAAAAAAATCAAAAAACAAATGCAACAGGAAAAACGCTGCAAACAAAAAAGAAATAAGCTGCAAACAGGTGAAAACATGCAAACACATGCATGATGCAAGCTCTAAAACACGCAAATACAAAAAAACAAGCATATGCAACAGGAAAAATGCTTCAAACAAAAAATGCTGTAATCAGTAAAAGTAGAAGCAAAAACCTAAAGTTCATAAAACAAATGAAAACAAAACAACACAGAAAGCACAAACAGAATGGTGCAAGAAAAAAACAAAAAGCAAAATGCTGCAATCGGGGAGAAAATTATGCAAATAGTAAAAACAGCTGCAAACCTGCTCCACAAAACGGAAGTGTTTCAGATCACTACAGTGAGTTGAACAAAGAACAAACCATATCAGACCAAAACCTCAGAAGAAACAGGAGGTTAATATTTAACACGGGATTTAAAAAGGATTTAAAAAGGAAAGAAGTTCGCGTCATACCTGTGTTTGCAGCTTATTTTGACATTTGCAGCAAATTTATACTTATTTGCAGCTGATTTCCTTTTTGTTTGTAGCATTTTTATTTTGCATTTGTTTTTGGTGCTTGTGTGTTTGGGGGTTTTCGTCATTTTGTTGTTTACTGCGCATTTGCATCTCTTGTGAACTGTAGTTCAATGCATAAAACAACACCAATAATTCATCTACCAGAAAAAACAGTTAGCCACTAGGTTTCCAAGATCATATACATAAGTTGGATACGAAGAAAAACATAATAGGATTAAAAAGATTTTTTAAACCAGTTAAAAAAAAGAGTCTCTGTTGGAAGCCTTTTTTCTCCAAGATTATTAAAAAGTTGAAATCCTGGATTTAGGGTCAGGACTTGGGTGTAAAGCAGAGCTGAAAAAAACTGCATTGCACTGTAGTGTAAAGGATGATATTTTGATGACAGAAACCACAGCAGAAATTGAAACATTGACAGTTTCACACTTTCTAAATGACAAGCAGACTTTGCTTACAGCAGAGCTCTTTTAAATCCCTGTGAGGAAGTGATTGGTTAGGTTTCTGAGCAATTGGTTTTCGATAACATTTCTCCTGACTTCTCCTCATTGGATAAATCATCGTAACAATCTGCTTACTGTGAATTCAAATTCCAGTTGGAAACTTTGCTAATAATCCTTTTATTTTAGATGATCATTGCTTTATACATTAAAGCCCAAATTTGGTCTTAAAAACACTCTCCTCAGCTGTTCCTGACAGCCTTATGCTAACCTTTTTCTTTGCAATTTTTGAAAATTTTACTGAATCTCATATTGTATCATGTGAGCCACAAGACAAACATAACTAAAAGAGTAATATTTACAAAGGAACATATAATATATACCTTTAAACTAACATAAGGAGTGGCTTTTTGCACATATTTACTCATTTTTATAATAAATGTATTTTAGATGGAGGAGCATGTTCCTTTGTCCAAGACTGCAACCTAACTGTAGTATGAAATATTTAATTAAACTACAAGAGCCAATCATTACTATTAAATGTAAATAATTTCAATCAAATTTAATTTAAGCCAAATTTAAATGGAAATACTCACAGGGAGATGCTGGTCTCCCAGGGATGCTTGGACTGTTTAAACCAGACGGGAGAAAAGGAGACAAGGTAAGGACAACATTTGAACCAGTCAAAATTTGTATTTATTGGGGATCAAACTGTTTTTACATGTAAGCATTTTTCTGCATTACAGCTTTGGCTACCTCTTAACATAAATGACCTTGCTTTTGTTGTTAGGTAAATCTTCATCTGCTTTGTTTTCCTGATTTGTTGTTTAATTTATTTATTTAGCAAGTCCTGCTGGTTTACCAGGAACTGTGCACAGTTTGAATGTCAGGGAAGATTGCGATTTTCTTTAGGACAAATTTATATTCGAGTCTTACAGGTAAAAAAAGCATCTATCTCTCCCACACTGGGCAAATGTCAGTGCTGTAGTGTCTGCAAAGCCTTATGTTCTTCTGTCAAGGTCCTTCACTGGGGCTACTATACAATTACCTTTACAAGGTGAAATTTCTCCCACCTTACCCAAGGACTGTGAATTGGGAAATCATAGATTTGTACAATCAGTAGAAAACAAGTATAGTTTGAAAAGAGAATTACCCTTTCCATGACAGCTCAATAGACATGTTGAATTGTAAATTGTAAATGCCCACTTACTGAAAATTGTTGGTGTTATGTCAGCTGGAGGACATGGGAAAAAAAGAACAAATCATTGAATCCCCAGGCAAACAGTGTTATTTTTCCCTAGAGGAATCCAATTGTTTTGTTTTAGATTAAATCCCATTTTGGTTGTTTATACAAGGTTAAAAGAAGGCTGGAAAGGGGAATACATCCAACTATGTATGGAATTTATTACAGAACAGGTGGCAGTGCTGCATCCCAGATAGGATCAGTCACTCTCCTAACTACCAATATGTAGGATTAGGATATCAAAGATCACTGCTAGACCTCTGTTATTTAGAAAACAAGTGTTTCCTGGATGCCTCAACCTCCTCAAAAAGTCTTCATGTAAACACAGTATTTGGCTTCACTCCTCAAAAAGTCTTCATGTAAACGCAGTGTTTGGCTTCACTCCATTCCCTTTGACTTTGAGAAATAAGGTTAGATTAACATTGAGGTTCTTGTGTTTGGAAATTATGTTTTTGAAATAGCTTTACTTCTGGATTCAGATACAAATTCAGATTTTGCTTCACCTTAGCCACCTTGCCATGTCTCTAAACATACAGATACAAACTGTTGGTTAGTGTCTGTTTGGTCCCATTTTGAATATCTTAATAAACATATGATTTATAAAGGTTAGCTGGCTGCCCATTCTCTCCAAAATTACCATAACACAATTGTGGATATTGAATGAAACTCTTTTATTCAGAAGCAAAATGTGCTAATTAATTTTACAACTGGCTGCTCTTTGTCCCTAATTAAAGTGTCAAAGATACTTTCAAACTACTGTAGTTGTAATGTTGCTATGCTGCGTTGGCAGTTAATTAGTTAGTAGCTATATGATAGCTTTGGAACAGACTTTATCAGGAAAAAGATATCATGTCAGGGAGGCATATGACACACCCACATATCTGATAACCAAAGTGCTTACTGCCAAAAACTACAAATTGTAGTATGGTGACAAAACAGCTGTTAGAACAGAGTGCTGGATAGAAAATAAGGTCCATATATTTTTTTTCTGAATAGCAATTAAGTTAGTATTTTTTAATTATGCCTTTAAAACAGATGTGGGTTGTTTTTACCAAACCAAATTAACAAAGTCAGAGAAGTCAGGATTTCAGTATCGCGACAGTCAGGAAAGTTGTTGTAGTACCTCTTACAGTAGGAACATCGTTTAAAGCTGTATTTTCCACATATAAACACAACTTCTAATTTGTTCAGTTTAGAGGTCTGCCTCTAAATATAACTTTGAGTTTAAGTTCATTTGTTCAAATGTTTCTTATAAAGCAAACATGCCATTTTCACAACTTACTGTTGTTGAAGCAAGGTGCTGCCATATTGGATCTATTCAATTCTATAGGCAATAAAAAGGTACAGAGGTTCAAGGTACGTAGACCGAGTTTGTTGTAAGTTAGTTACATTTTTGTCTCTTTACACTGATACAACCTAAAACTGTGAAGTCGGGGAAGGGAGCCAGAGTGTAAAATGGACAAACCTTTGCTAAAAATCACAATATTAAAATAAGAAAAAATAAAATTGCCTGTATTCAGAAACTTCCAGATACTTAGAGTACATAATGTATGACTTTTTTTATCATACACCTTTATCTTATACTTTATCATGCATGTATAACATTTATAAAACTTCACTGCTAGCTAGATTTTTTATTTTTTTTTAATTTTACTGTAACATTAAAGGCAAATACTGTGGCTATTTGAAACTGTAAGTTGTCAAGGGTTATGGTCAAAATGCCTTCTTCTATTATAGCTTTCATATTTGCTTCATTTTTTTTCCTTTTTTGTTAATGTAGTTACATATATATTTATTTAAGGAATCTAAAAATTTTGCCAGATTAATTCATTTATGCATATTAGTTGGAACAAAGTTTTTTTTCCTCTTTTTTCGCCTTATCTTCCATCTTTATTGTCCTTTATTAATGAATGAAGCTCATTATTTTGGTATCATTCTCATTTGTTACGAGTCAGTTTCTCACACCTAATATTAAATTTCAGTTCTTAATTTAAAATCAATTTTAACTAACAATTAATAGCAATTCCCATTTCAGTCTCGTAGCCGAATCACTCCAGTTAAGAAGAAACATGCCAAGGGACAATATGTTTAACACTAACAGCTTTCTACATTTGTAATGACGAATTATTGACAAAAAAAGAAAAAGATACTCAGAGGTTTTAGCAATGTTTCTTACTCTTGTGCTTTTGCTCCAGTTTAATTTAAAGATCTATTTAGCTAAATTTAATAAGACTGACAGAGAGCAATTTCTAAAACTAAATTTGCAAAGGTTTATGTGAAGTTAAATTTAGGTTATTATATATCCCTTTCTCTGCTTCTATGATTTAAGTCAAATTATATCACAGCGCCACCTTCGTCAATCTGAAGATATTGTTCATTCTACTGCTTAACAGGAACGATTCTCTCTTTAATTATGATTTCTGTTGCTTTTCTTTTTTTTTTTATTTCTCATGTGTTCCCCTACTGACTCATGAGAGGTTAATTCTTCCTGATTTACCCTTTGTTTGCAATAAATACACTTGTCATTTTTCATTATTTCATCCACACAGATTGAAGCGATTACTTTTTAAAGTGCACACGAGAGGCACATTTAAAATGTGAAAAAAAGACCATGATTTAAGGTTAATGCTGACTTAATGACTGTTTGGAAGGGATACATTTAAATACCAATTCAAATCAACACTTAAAAAGCACAGCAGCCAAAGTGCCTCTCAAGCCATTAGCACAGAGAGATGCTTTGAGATAATTGCATGCACCTGATTTGAAATTTTAATGAGTCTAAACAAACTGAGTGTGATGGGTTTAATAAATTGATGTGAAATAGTTTTCATGATACATTTAAAATAAGAATGAGAGAGACGTTTGATTCAGTTGAATAGGCTTTATGTGATATGATGAACATCACACTGTATACTGCATCATAAGCACTCAGCACAGCTGCTACATGATCATCATTCTCAGGTAGCAGATGATGGTTGAAAACGTCAAATTGTCTCTGATCATGCAGTAAATATTTGTTATTGTTTCCTTGCAACTACTGTTTAAAAAAAAAAGCAACTCACCACAGACATTGCTTCTTTTAAGCCTTCTGATGAACATCACATTTCACACAATATTATGCTTTGATTTAGCACAATGCAATAGGTTTTTTACAAAAACACCCTCTGATCTTTTGTCATTACTACACCGCAGCAGCTCATTATACTGAGCCCCAAATCTCAATCAGTGATTATTAAACTGTTTTATACTATTTTAAAGATAATAAAGGGGTCTAACTATTAATAGCAAATGATTGCTTATAAGTTAAGCTGAAAAGTCTTTCAATTAGCGACTGAAGCACCTCATTCAGTGGAAGAGTTTAAAATAGAATACGTATACTCTGTAACAATTTCACTTGACTTTGTAGAGATTAATCAAAGGCATCTGGACAATTTTAAGCATTTAAAAGGCCCTTAATGAGAGCTGGAGGCCAATCATCATGACCTACACAGAGAGAGTTTCTTGGGAAAGCATGCAGGGATTACTTTGTCTGCGCTACTCCAATGGATAGCACTATCCCACATTACAGTAAGTTTGATGGAGGATTCTTATGCAGTGCAAAGGGATTAAAGTGCTATGATTAATCCAGAATCCCCCAGGAAATTAAACAGATAAGTAGCGGGTTATAAGAATGCAGCTTACTGAAAGGAAATCCATTTTCTGTGGCCTTGCACATAAAACCTGTTATTGCTAGATTTACAGCTCCTGTATGTACATGCAAAGAAACAAATTTTTCCTCTTCTACTTTCTGCTTATTTCGTTTCGCATTGGTCATCGCGCTCACGCTGTTATGACTACTGTTTTCATTTATAGCCTTGAATTAAACGTGCACGCATTGTTCCTTTAAAGTGAATTACTGCAGGAGTTTTTAGTCAAAGCAGTTTATTATGCTGCCGACGGTGAAATTTGATAAGCTGTCCAAACCTTTCATAGCTCCTATTATGCTCATTTGTGTTAAAATGTTATTAGGTTTTCATGAATATATTGTGTCATAGGCTTAAAAGGAAATTTAAATGACTTATGGAGCAATGTGGAATGTGCATTCACTTCCATTTGATGAAACTGTTATCAGTAGCTGACATTAACAAATGGGAATATCTATTATTTCTATTAAAAAGCAAACGATGTGATTGCTCATATTGTCACAAACCCTAGGGTTCACCTTGGTAAAAGTTACACTGATTATTTCTTTCTAAATAAAAGATAACGGGCTCACAAAACTATTGTCCAAAGATAAGATTTAAGTTTTCCAAAGTAGGCTATTTTTAACCAAGAATGTCTGCCTGTATATTTCTGTCTTAGTTGGAAAAAAATGGAAAATATCTACACTTCTACAATTTATAATAGTTTTGAGGAATTCTTATATTCTTATACTTGAAATGGGGTGGAATGAAATGGTCCAAATATTTTCAGGAAAACAATTCTGAATAAAGAAGTCCTTGTAGTCATCGTTCCTCCCTTTTGTAAATGAAAGCTATAGTGCTTACACCTTCAAGTTTAATCTCCCTGATTCTTTTCCTGACAAGAGATCACTCAAAACAAACATTTTGAGTAGAATTTTCCAAGGTATATATTTCAAATGACTGTAAAACATGATGGCAGGTTTAACAGGATTTAAACTTACCAAGAACAGACAAATTACATAGGTTACATGCTGCTGGCCTTATCGGACTAAATTCATCAGCGAAGGACCCAGAATAATAAAAAACTTCAACAAACTTCAGTAGGGCAGCAAATGGACATAGTAGAATAGCAATCCTCTTTGAGCCTCAATAACAACAACACAACGAGGGGCAGACAGTGCAGGAGAGCAGAGCTCATACTCTCCCCTCCTCATGAAAAAAAGAGGAGAAAAAGAAAAAAATGTGGAATCACCTCAAAATATATATATATATATACAAAAATTGGATCGGATATTAAAAAGTGGAATTCAACCATTGTCACCAGGACCAGGACTTTAATAAGAGGCTAAATGAAACTAAAATTATTGCAAAAATAGAAGACTTGTTTATTTTTTTTCTGCAAGAAAGAGGATTTTCCAGAGGTTGATTTGATACCAATGCTTGCCAACTGTTCAAGCTTTACTTAAAAAAAAAAAAAAAAAAAAAACCTTTAGAGTATATTCTTTGTGCAAGTTACATATATAAATATATAAATAGAGGTTTCTCTAGATACGTGAATACATTTGCAAGTCACCTGATCTTCTCTACTGACAGTAGTGACCCCACTTCCTTATCTCTTGTTTTGCACTCCTGTGAAACATATGTCACAAGTTTAATATCTTGTGTGTAGCACTTTGCTTCCAGGTCAATAGAGTTATCATCACAGTTGTCGGGACAATGCAGTGACTATTTCGGGGATTTGGATTAATGTTTTCCAGTTGTTGAAGAACAGTATCCCAACCTGCAGCTGCTGAGCCATATTGTCAGTGAGAATTTATGAGACAGCTGTAGTAGCAAGGCCCTGATGAAATGACAAGCTCTCATAATGCTATTCACTAATGTGTGAATGAGAGACCTTTCACTAACTGTTGTTTGTATTGTTTTCATCACAGTGGGAGACACAGGGAGGTTAAGCTTATAGGAACTCCTGCACATAACTGGACATAACTTTTTTTCTTTGACTGCATTGGATTAGACACTTGCTAATAACTGAGGCAGTTTTCCACCAATATTGTAATACATTCAAGGTATGCAGGAGCAGTGATGGTATAAACTCAATAACCCAAAACATTGGTGCCTGTTTGGCGGCGGATGGAAGACTACATAGTACTGCAGAGATGTATGTTTCAGTTCCTAGCACTGGCATTTCTGGCCTGGCGGTGTGCCCTGTTGGACATAGTTGGCATTTGTCCTGGGTGGGGGCCAGTAAGGAATCATGTCCTTGTCACTGCAGTAGCAAAGTCTTGCAGCAAGGATGTTTGAGCTGTTTGTGCAGAGGGGGGTTAGAATATAAGTGTGAACACCTTTGAACATGCCAAGTTGATGAAGCCCACTGCTTCTGTGTTAACAACAAATGACTTATATATACAGCACCCCCATGATTATTGGCACTGCTGCTAAAGATGTGTAAAAATAAATTCATCCTTGCCTCTCTGTACTTTTATAGAGTGGCAAAATCTTAGTTTGATAATTTATTTCATCTAACAAATCCACTAGTGCTACTATGTTGACCTGTTTTCCCAGTTGGACAACACTAATAATATTATACCCATTATAATAAGGCAATCCATTTCTACTTTTATGACAAAGGCAACTTACTTTTATTGCAAATCATGTGGTTCAGAAGACCTTTGGTATTGAAACACACCAAAATATCACATGTGTGTAGAAAAGGCATCAATGGTTTTCCATATATCCCTCTTTTGTGTTTTGTCAGACCCACAGTGTTATGAGTATTTTTTCTATCCTGCCATTTCTCTCAAGCAGCTGCTATGCAAATGGATAGTATCTAATGGTTGCTACTACAGAAAGTTGTTGAGCTCAAAATGGCAGTCGGCTGCAGTTCACCGTGAACTTTGAAAAATGTAGTTATAGGTCTTGGCATCCTCCCTGCCAAGGTGGTGGGGAGGCAATGCAAATGCCACTAACAGTCCCCATGTGTCACATCATATTTACAGCTAAATGAAACAGGAGGTCACAGAATGAACTAGTGAAAACAGTAACATTCATGTTAAATATGTTGCATTTGTTATGCTGAATGTTTATTATTATTATTATTATTATTATTATTATTATTATTATTATTATTATTATTATTATTATTATTATTATTATTATTATTATTATTATTATTATCAGTGTGGTAAGTAAAAACATGTAATAAAAATATCAATTTTTCAAGATTATTATTAATTTGAATACTGCAAGTCACCAAAATAATCAAACTATAGCTTGATTAATATTTTTGACAATTGCAATAAAACTGAATTTCATATCCTCCATATCTGTATGCATCTTTGCCAGCTAGGCATTTATCTCTGCTGATGGTTGTCCAGTAACATGTGTTGGGTTTTTTATTTTTTATTTTTTTTTTTTTATCATCTTAGATGGCTGTCTTAATCTACTACATAAAGGAAGTTTTCTTTTTATATTGTAAAAGAGCAAATTGCTCTTATGCAAACACACTGTTATATCTAGTATTAAAACCAAGGCTAGTCAGCAGCCTTTTTAAACATGTAGCAAAAGAGGGTATGATGAGATTATTCTTCTGCTCTAAAGAAGATTTAAAAAAATTTTTTTTAAAGACATAGATTTTAAAGATGCTGATTTTTCTAGATAGATCCATAAGCTTACCGGTACTATTTTCATGCATATCAATTGTGAAGCTTTTTTTAAAAGCAGCTTTTGCTTAGACAGAAAATGGGATTATTCCAGACTGTGAGAGATTGTTCAGGATCTTTTGCACTGAAGACACCGTTTTTTTTTTTTTGTTTGTTTTTTTTTTTTACCATGGTGGCTTATTTTCTCATACTGTATACCTTGATTCCATTTTTCAGGAAGTTTCTTATTCTTTTTTTTCAGTTGTATTGTGAAACATATTTGGCTAAATCAGAATTTTTTTTACACCCTAATAGCTCATAACGAAAGCAAAATCTTTTCCCAGCTGTTAATACAATAAGTGCAATAATGTAGCTGGCCTAGATACTCCGATACAGCAGCTTGCTTGAGCTTTGGGCAGGCAGAGGCCATTACAATATACATATGAGTTACACACTAATAAAGAGTCAACAAGTTCCAGGATATTTCACACATTTCTGGCAGAGTATGTGAAAAACATTCAGCTAGTAAAGCTCCAATTACTTATTCACAGCTATATAAACACACATATGTTATAAACTACCCTAAAGTTGCAGTTTTGCAGTTATCTATCAGCTAAAAAATGCTGCATAAAAATTGATATCTAGAAATATGTCTTTTATACTTCAATTTTTTTTTATTGCAGGGGGAACTTGGATTAGAAGGGCAAAAGGCAATCGATGGAGAGAAGGTGAGTATTGCTATTTCCAGCAGACATATAGTCCATACACAGGACATCAACAAGCTCCACTTTCTTTTGTCAGGCAATCAATTATTTTAGGCTTTTCATTTTTCGTTTGCCATGTCCCAGAGGTATGAACAAAGCTGAATTTTCTGTGTGGCTGTTCTGCCATATCGCTATTAGATGTAAGAGTGTTTTAGACCGCACTGTCCTTCTTGCTGTAGAATTAATTGATATGTCGTATGCGGCCATAGACTGGCATACCAATGGACTAAACTAATTTCTCAAATTACCATGAGATCATTCTGTGCCATTTTAAGGTCATTCTTTATTGCATGCACTCAAATCTGCCTTGACTGATTAAAGTACTGTATGGTGTCGCTGTACGTACTCATCATTTTTGATATTTCTAAATGTAAATGTATTTTCTTTATTACCAGAATTCTACATGTTCTGAAAGTGTAATGGTTTAATTCATTAAATGAAATTGGGAAAAGTTTTTTTTTTTTTTTCTTGATGAAACCAGTACTTCTCCATCTGGTAAAACCATGCATGTCATTATGAGCAGGGAGGATTTGCAGCTGCAGCCTTTGTTAGGAGTTAGTGTATAGGGATGAAAATTATTGGAGTCCCTGTAAAGAAGCATTTCTCATGATCAAATTCCCTGATAGTTAATGAAAAGCTTCACTGGAAATCAGCTTAAGAGGTGTGTTCTATTACTGAGAAAAAGAAATATGAGTGAAAGAAAATAAAAACAAAGCTGAGTGTACATCCATCAACCACAGCCCTAAAACACCTGCCCAGTATCGTGTAGATTACTTTTGTGCTACATAAACCTTTCTGACCCATTGGAGCATGGGCAGCGAAATGTTGGCAAAAAAAAAAGCAGGTTCTGTGTGTAGAGGAATGGAGGAGGTCAAAGCTCTTTGTCCTGCTTGGGGGGGCTGCTGTAGTCAGGGAATTGTGTTGTCATGGGGATGTGTACTTTCTCTGCAATATTGTTTTGGCTGTTGGTGCAACTCAGCATGGTAGGAGCAAACAAACTTGAATCACCTCTCCATACCCACTTTCAAAAGCCATTAGAAGCTTAAAGTTTTACAAAAGATTTTATTAATTCTAGTTTTTCTCCAAGTTGCACCAAGCAGATTTCAAGTTTAATTCAAACTAGGAGTATTTTCATTTCATTATGTAATTGTTGCCACACTAAGTGTGCTCTGTCACAACAATCTTGTACCACTTTAGTAATCAGACCTTGGTTGGTCCCTCTTGGCTCATGTTAACTTTTCACAAGTTAGCACTATACTAATTTGTAGTTCTCTCTTTCTCTTTTTCTGTCTCTCTCTTTTTATGTGTCCCTCTCATCTATCAATAGATAGATAGATAGATAGATATGCTTTTGTAGCTATACACACACATATATTTATATATATATATTTATATACATTTATGTCCTCTTTAGAAAGCTCTAAAACATGGCTCTATCCATGTGACTGTATAACTTCTAGTGTTATCAACTTGTACCAGCTTCTTGCTGTGTTTGACCATGAAGCAATCTGGTGATAAAAGTAAGTGCAATTGAGTTGTCAAGCAATCAAAGTAGTGAGCACTGAATTGGCAGTTTCTGAATTAAAGCTTTGGTTTGTGCCCCAACAACCAGAATGGTCTGTTTTGTTTGAGCGTAAGTGCCTCCTGACATGTTGAAAAGCCAGCTGATGTCATGAGAAGATTTGCATGTGAATTACATAATCAAGTTTATTTACCCAGGGATTTCAAGACCACCTAACTAGAAATTAACTGCATGCACATAAAAGACTGACTGATTTGTAGTCACAACATCACATGAAATATAATGGAAGGTTGTGAACGTGTGCAATGCCCTGGGTCATACTCAGTATTTACTGATTGGTAGTGATGCCTTCAATGATTAGTTAGGAAAAGTGTAGAGCTCTTCAAACATGGCTCCCCTTGACTTTATTTTCAGCAGTACATAAAATGGAAACAGCTGGAAGCAGGTTCACTGCAGGAAAACTGAAACAGTTTGTATCTTTTTAAGAAGCAAAAAATCACAGCATCATATTTGCTGATTTACTTGTTTCCTTTACAAGCACAGTACTCTTAAAGAGGTAATGAGTTTACCTTATGTGGGTGGTGAGTTTTGTGTCTTTAAGCTTGCCCGCTCCCTACTGCTCTCTGTTGGGCCAAACCAGAAAACCCCAATCAGCATTCAATCAATGGTTATAAACACTGAAACTCACTATTCCATTTTTTTTTGGCAAATATTTGGCTATAAACAAATGTCCTCAGAAAACAAATACATTTTCTTGGAGAAGTAAGTGTATTTGAGCTAAGAGCCTTAGTTGGTTGTCTTTGCTTTGGTCATGCACAGACAATACACAATCTTTTCTTTCCAGGGATTTATTTACCTGTGCCCTAAGCAATGATGTCTCCGGTTTGACCATTGTTGTAGAAATAGTAGAAGTAGAAAATAAAAATGTTTTTGAAAAGTGTCTGGGAATGAAAACTTTTCCAAATGCAATGCTAAATGCCCTTAATGTTCACATTTGAGGTATATTTTTAGGGGCTGAGGTACTTAAGCTCAGACAGTGGAGGGGACATTTTAGAATCGTAAACAGAGAATAGTGTCAAAAGAACTTTGGTTAAATTTTAATCAATATTGTCCACAGAGATTTTAAGCAATATTATTGCAATTACCACCCTGTTAAAGTGCTGCCCAGTAATTAAATAAATTTTAAAATTCCTCGTTATGACCAAGTGAAACGGTAGGTAATTTATCTTTAAAGGGTATTTTTTAACAAAGAAGACATAAATGTGATCACAGCACACACTGCTGGTTTAGTCAGAGTCCCTCAAATTAATTTGAATGGTTTGTTTATATGCAGAGGTCACAGATAGAAGTTGTGGCAGGATTTTATATATTAGAATAATATATAGTTGTGGCATGATTTTATATAATAGAATAATATTTTCATCTTGTATCTAAATAAAACAAGGTAGATTGTTGTAGATGTTAGGAGAAACAGAAAAAAGTTAATACACTCTTACTATTACGGGAGAAGAAATGTGGAGGAGTATAAATACATAATTTTTAACCTGGTCGGTTGACATCTGAGACACAATCATGAAGCTGTCTATCAGTAAGAACAGAGCAGAATTCTCTTCTGCAGGAAGTTTAGGTACTTGGCAGTTTCTGGATTAAAGCTTTGGTTTGTGCCCCAACAACCAGAGTGGTTTGAGCATCATAAGTACCTCCTGACTTGTTGAAGATGTTGTTCATCTGTTGTTGATAGTATGATCACTCCTGCCATCATCTGTTGGGGTACCAGTATGAGATACAGGTGCCCTGAACATCTTCTTCCTCAGACTGTCGTGCAACTACAGCGTCTTCTGTCAGAACTGCTGTAAGACGGACAGCTACAACAGATTCTTCTTGCCTACAGCATCTATATAAACTCATTGATAAAACCCTTATAGGACACCAAATGTAAACTTAGACTTGTTGTCATGCAGCTGGCTGTTATATATCCATCCCTGCTGGGGTCGCATGGGGTGTTAGTGCCTATCTCCAGTTGCCTACGGGCGAGGGGCGGGGTACATGCTGGACGGGTCGCCAGTTGTGTAGTATACTGAATGAAAATTTATCCTGTTGGCAGTTTTTTTTTTCTTTTTGTTTAACATAAATACAAAAAGACTGTGTTATATTGTCAGATATTGAGAGAGAATAGAAATATTTAATTTCCATTCGTAACTGATCTAAATATTTCTTTGTTTGTTTAGCTTTACAACTATTTTATATTAAAATATATCATTATAATAATATGAACTACTAATATTTGTATGACTTGCTACGAGCCACGGCAAAATGTTTTTTTTCCTATTAGTAATCATAGCAAACTATCCATCCATCCATTTTCCATTACGCTTTATCCCTGATAGGGTTGCGAGGGGTCCATCCTGAACAGTTCGCCATTCCATCACAGGGCAAAACAGGGACAAACAGGGACGCACACACTCACACCTAAGGAGAATTTAGAGAAGCCAATTAGCCTAATAGTCATGGTGTTGGACTGTGGGAGGAAGCCAGAGTACCCAGAGAGAACCCACGCATGCTCAGGGAGAACGTGCAAACTTCATGCAGAGAGATCCCAGGCTGGAAATCAAACGCGGAACCTTCTTGCTGCAATGCAGCAGTCCTACCCACTGATTCACTGAGTAGCAAACTAGCTGATTGAAAATTTTATTAGTGAAAAAAAACAGCTAGTAATATTAAAATGCATTTTGAAAATCAAATCTAAAACCTATTCAAGGATGACATTTGAATGTATTGATCATCTACCACTGCAGAACCGTTCCTAGACTTTCCGGGCCTCCTTTTTTATTCTTATAGTTAGACGTTACAATTACTGTTAGTTTAAAAATTGTACCATAAAAATTAAAATAACCTTTGATGTATCTATTGTTATTAATACAGTAACTGTGTCCATATAGCAATTTGAACTTAGATTATTTAGAGAATCCTAAATATTCCAGTCAGATTTCTAGCAGGTTATGTAGTTTGCATTTGTTGTCTCTATCAGTGGGACCTTTACTGGTGCACCTATTGATGACAGAGAGTAATGCTAACTTCTGTAAACAGACAACACTTAGTTTTCCTTTATTGCATTTTACAAAATTAAAGCAGGCAGGGTGTTTTTTTAACACTTTGCACAATTGGTATGTGATCTGTAATGGCATAAAAGAGAGTTGATTCAATGTCGAGGAGAACTAATGCATGTCTAGGGGTCACTGGGTGTGTGGCATGGTTTACTATGGGCAAGTCACAAGTCAATCATAGGACACCAACATAGGACAAAGAGCTATGTAGTCACACACCCTTTCCTGATTTACAACTGAAGTAAGACACCCTGATAAAAAAAATGTGAATAAATAATGTTAATGTAGCAATCGATTTGAGCTGATTTCTGGTTTACCAACCTGTCAGGTCTCTCCTG